AAAGGAATACTATAGAAATTAGTTGCAGTGGTTGATAGATTACAAAACAACCTAGACTACTAAGGGTTAAATCAATCCTTAGTATGAGTATTTTTACCTCTCGGTAAAAAATGGCACCGGTGTAAATTCATTCGCAAATCATTATGAAGAAGCTAGTGTTAATTTGTGAATGAATTTATACTGGTACCATTTTTTACCGAGAGATAAAAATACTCATACTAAGGGTTGATTTAACCCTTAGCACTCCAGGTTGTTTTGTAATCTATCAGCAATTGCAACTAATTTTTATAGTATTCCCAGCGAAAATGAGAAATTATGTAACATTTCTTCGATCTTTCATTTTTCTTCTTAGTACAAAATTTGGATGTGCGGAAAATCTAATAATTTTAGGGTAGTTTCTTTAAGATTCATTAAAATATTTAATATTATAACTGGTGCAATATTGGAGCCTGCAGAGTTCAAAGGGTTAATAGGTTAATAGGTACGATTTCATAGAGCAAAATACCCAAATCCAAAAAGTAATCATTTGTTTGAATCGCATTACTGCATGTTCATTTAGCTGAATGTCATCGCATTAAACAGCATTATAATATAGAAATCTTTTCAAATCATAGATAAGTGAACTATAGCAAACCGATTCGATTGAATCAACGTATCAAAAAATAAACATCGAGCAGTAATAAGATCACGTTGCTCAATACACTGATTCAAGATCCTAATTGCTATTGGAACTCCCACTAAAGAATCCGCAGACATTGATTATTAATCTTCAGTAAACTGTTCGGTAACTGTCCGTAGATCCCCTATCATCAATCACTCGCTCTCGAATCCAGATCTACGTGTCCCTCTGTGCTGTCACAACGAACGATTCCGTCTATCCGATTCCACGGGGCTTTCCTCCGGTCCCGTGCCTCTCGGTTTCATAATCGATCGAGCAGCTCGGATCTACGGCGGTCGCGAGCGGGGCGGCACGATGTGTCTATAAACTATGTTAAACGTGTAAGCTCGGCAAGCCGCTCTCACTTTTTCCCGGCCGGATCGGCCTCTATTTACCCGTCGATTTCCGAGCTGTGACTCGGTACAGGGAACACGGCGAGGAAGGAAGGCAGAAAGAACGGAGCCAGCCGGCCGACCGGCGAGGGCAGGAGGCAGGAGCCTAGGCGTGAGTCATCGTGAGACAAGATCTCGGGTAAGGAGGCGGCCTTGATGCCGCGAAACTGTTCGTAATATCGACACGGGTCCATGGATCGGTCGTTTCGATCGTTGTCCACGTTGCCCGCCTGTTGTACCCTACGCCCGTCTCGCAGGGGACTGGTGTTGACGACTGATCGTCACCTGGCCGCGACGAGTTCATTAGCAGCTCGAAGGCGAAGCGAGATGACACCGGTGGGATGTGGATGTTTAAATTGATTTATGATGTTGTGATTAGCCACTGGGCCTGGAGCTGCGGGCTATGATGATTGTAGTAGCTGATCTTGCATTTAGATGGTACCTTTGGTGTAAGGGTAGTTTGTAGAGTTTTGAAGGTTGGTACACAGTATTCGTGATAGATCTGTTTAATTAGAATTTTGAAGCCTAGTTCAAATGATATGAGTAGCTGTTCAGATAAAAGTAGCTGACGTATTGTCTTTGAATGGTACCCTTTGGTTTCAGGTTAGAGGTAGCTATTTGTAGAGTTTCGAAGGTCGGTACATAGTATTCATGATAGATCTGTTTAATTAGAATTTTGAAGCCTAGTTCAAATGATATGAGTAGCTGTTCAGATAATTGTAGCTGATGCCTTTGGATGGTACCTTTTGGTTTCAAGTTAGAGGTAGAAGGTTGGTACATAGTATTCACGATAGATCTATTTTGAAACCTTTAACTCGAACGACACCAAGAACCCTAGCTGCTCGACAACCGAATATCTCGAGAGCCTAACCTCAGTCATCAAAAAGACTTAGCAACCAGTCTCTCCGAGCAAGTGCAGTTGCACTACGCGGTATCCGGCACCACCCTAACCTAACCTATCGAGCGCGTTCCCTGGACGTGTGACAAATGTCCTGCATCATCTCCCGAGACAATGCTTGGGATGTATAATGAGAAGAATGAAAGAATCGAAGAAGCATCCTATGCATCTCGGTGACCGGTTACGCGGGTACTCTTTCGCAACGGTTCGCGGAAGGTCGCCGACGTAAAGGATTGTCCTGTGCTCTAGGCCGTCGAAACGCAGGTGTTTTCCGACGCGAACGTCGCGGGAAGGCTGCCCACGGACCTGTATCCGGTTGTCTGCGCGCACGGCCGCGGAGATTTGCCTTTCGCAAGGCCGTCTCTCATTCCTCGGGTTAGACGGTGCTCCGAGCGACGCTAGAAAGCGACAACTCTCGGAACGCGTGCGTGCTACCTCCTAGACAGACTCCACGCGTTCCTGGAGTGTCTGGCGACGAGGGACAACCGTTCCCTGACTCGGCTGACGGAAGTCGAAGAGAAATGGATCGCTCGCCGACGTCGGTATGGTTTCTAACAGCCTTTGAAACGTTCCTGGTATCTGGCAACTGGAAGACGCTGTCTGTTCGCAGTGTTATTAATGGTGAAGGTAATACCTGCTAGTTGTTAATAATATTAAGTAATATTAATCGCTATCAGAATCAAATAATACATTGAAGAGTGAAATAAAGGAAACGAGAGAGGTAGCACTGAAGCTTTGAGACTAGGTCTAACTTTAGGGTAGGGTTCATTTGTCTCTAAAGATTAACCCCTTCCACTATTAAGTTTCTCACTAGAAGCGAACATCTTTTGACGAAGCGAATTCCTTGAAGCTCACTCGAAAGGAAATCACAAGTACCTTGAGGAACAAAGTTATTTTACTCGAATATTTCATATAATAAAGTTCAACATCAAATATCAGATTTTATAGTTTCACCCATGAAATCAAGTGGTGACGCCACTCGAGTGCAAAGGGCTTAGCTTATCGATAATCTCTGTAATAGAATGAACTGTTGATCCTCGGTAACTCCATGGGATGAGAGTAAACTTCTCTCCAATCTTCAATAATCAAGCAAAAACGGTCAGACTCCAGACCGCGTTCCTCGCTTGAAATCGCGCCAGTTCCTTTTGCTGTGCGACTTCATGTTTCCCGCGTGTACGAAGCCGAGATTGATGACATAATCGTCGAAGCGGGTCCCAGCGAAGTTGCACCCCGTGGAACTTAAGTAAACCGGCGATTCGTATGCGCGATCACGTCGCCGCGACGGACGTTTTGTCCGTAACGTCGGATGCCTCTCCAGCTTGGCCCCTTCCACGCGTTACGGTGTGGTTTCGGTATGCCCGGACAGTTGTCCCGGCGAAATTTCGCGGAGCGAAGGCTGCCCGCGTACTTTCTCACCTTTTTATCGCAATCCACGTGCCCCGTCCCGGCGACCGGCAAGAAAAATCGAAACCGCGTTCCTTTCTCTCGATTGCCCCCGGTAATAGCCCGTAATCAAGTGGATCGCTCCGAGAAGCTGTTTAGACGACGCCTGAATGGCAACTGAACAGGTGGTTGCCGATGGGACACCTTCGCCGAGCGATCGGCCGATTAACGATCAATTTCTAGACGCTCTCGCGCTAATGAAGACTAATGTTCAACGTTCGCTCTAGGTCAAGCCTTTTCGCGGATGAAGATTTATCACTGTTAGGTATCGTTGTCAGCATTATTATATAATATCGTACGATTTATCGGTATTATCGAGAGTTCCCTCAAATATGATTGCAACGAAGTCTTAAACGCGTCGGACCTCCATGGCCGATGAAGCGATACATTTCGTTTCGAGCGACAAAAACGTATGTAGGTCCAGGCTGTTCTCAACTGCAAATTGAGCAATTCCGACGTCGAATCGCTAACGAGCGTATCCGTGGCCCAGGTTTTCCCGTTCGTGCCTTTTTTTGGCAGCGACCGCTTTTTTCGCCACCCTATCTTTCCACGTTCGCCGCGTCGCGTTTTTAGGCATCGCCTCGCGCCGCGGGTGGCGCGCAACCGGCGAGCAACACCGATAAAATGCTCCCCGACGCGAGCCCATCATAAATCCTCATCGAGGGAAAATGAAAACTGCTGGATACCTCGTCGTCACCCCCCTCCCCCCGACCCTCAAGTCGTAAGATCAACCTTTGCCGAGCTGAGTACATCGTAACCGCTCCGCTGAAACAGAACGCTCGGTGTTTCGAATGTAAATTGAATTCTTAATTCGACCCGGGGTGGAGCTGGAAGAGGAATTATGGTACACCCGGTGGAACGTTCGAGAAGTCTGCTGCGCGGTGCTGTTTTCTAATTAAACTTTGTTTGGAATGGACGCTTAGGAACGCTGAAGACCACTGCTTGATTAACACCGACTGCAAGTGATCCTTGGTAGTTGGAACTTCGAGTTTACAGTGTAGCTACATAGTTGCTAGTTGGTTTAGTTGTTGCCCCAGTTACTTCCTACGTGCAGAAGGTAACGGGTGATTTAAACTGTGCAGCGTTTTGCATGCGCAATTGATTCGCTCTTGCTGAAACCGTTACGAGAGCGACTCCAATTTGTCTTTTGGGTAATAGTTTACCGAGATATTAACCCTTTGCGGAGGAGGATTCTTTGGAATGTACGAAACCTTCGGCAGATGACGTTAAATTATATATCAATTGTGTAATTGTTAGAATAGAAGAAAACTACGCGCTGATCTCTTGCTATTCGAGTAATTAACCCTTAGCACTCCAGATGGTTTTGTAATCTATCAGCAACTGCAACTAATTTTTATAGTACCTTCATTTTTATAGATCTTTCATTTTGCTTCTTAGTGCAAAATTTAGATGTGTGAAAAATCTAATAGTTTTAGGGTAGTTTCTTTAAGATTCATTAAAATGTCTAATATTATTCCTGGTGCAATATTGGAGCCTACGGAGTTCAAAGGGTTAAATCGCCTTTTTGTGACTCAGTCTTCGAAATATGAAAATTCTCGCCGGAATGTCGTCCGCAAAGGGTTAAAGTCATTGAAAGTATCCTGGAGAGTTATGTCAAAATAATAGTATTTTTATTTAACCTTCGCACACAGACGGATCGGACCTGGCTGCATCAAAGTGACGAATGTACAGAAAAATACAAAACGACGGGAGCATTGTTCGGTCAGCAGAATTTCGAGTTGCGAGTAATACTTCTATGGAAACGTATATACAAATTTTTGGCATGTTCGGAACTATCGCGCAGGTTCTGTTGTAGTGGGGTACGTGTGTTATTATTTAAACGTGAGAACACGGCGTCCATGCGTGGCGATTTACGTTTGCGGAAAGATCTTGTTGAATGGCACGCGACTGAAAAATTCGTTCGCTACTTTCGCGAAGACAAGGCCGAACGTTTCCTCGTACGGCGATTGAAGTTCTTTGAACAGCAAATCGGAATTCTCGTTGATGAAACGGTTCATTTGCTCGCCTGGAAAAAGAAACGACTGGTTTATAGAAAAAGCCGTCAGACTATAAAAAAGATCAGTCATGTAAAGGTGAGGAAATGAATACAGGGAGGACCTTGGACTTTATTTGTGTCAATATTTAAATCAATTGCAACTACATATGTCTTTTGATGCTGTTAGATCGATTAATAGATTTTTCTGAATTAATCTTGCGTATCGAAAGTCTTTAGTTGCAACTTTATGAATTGATATTTAATTTCTAATTTAATTGGAAAAAATTAGACAAAATGTGCTGCCATCGGTGGCAAACTGTCCAAGCTACTCGCCAATCAGTATAGATTTATATCTCGAGATGGCGCTGGGATCTCGTTTGAAAAGATTTAAAAAAATTATTCCATTAAACCGGTGGCGCCATCTACGGCGAAACGCCCAAGCTACTCGCCGAATAATTCCCTGTTTTCTACGCTACATGGCGATACAATATTTAAAAATGCTATTCAAGTTACATTCTTAAATTCAAATTTAAAAACTGTGCATTGTACGTGACTCATTCTCTTTTGGTATTAAAATCTGTTCATTAGTTCCTAAACTGACATCAGAAATTTTAATTTAGATACAATTCAATTTATAATTAAACTTTCTGATAAAATGACCTTCTAACGAACATGTGGCGCCATCTAGCGATGGAAATGTGACATTGGTTGGCTAATAGCTTGGGCATTTTGCCGTAGATGGCGTCAGTAAATTTTCTGTAATTTTTCTCCGGAGTAAATAATAAAAGTTATTAAAATCTCTTCCCACTACCTCTTTCAATGAATTCAATAAATATTCTAAGACAAATAGGGAAGTATTTAATTTCTTTTAACGAAGTTGTTACGCATTTTTAATCATTTTTACCATCGGTGTACGACCGCTGGGTGATTTCAATGAGTGGTGAGACCACTTGCATCACGTGAAAAGAGATTTCAATGAATTGTAGAATGTTTCTCGCTAGTATCACGGTAGTGAGGAACAGGGGAAGCTTCTGTCACTTATATTACTTAGAATATATTAAACCTTTGCACTCCACAAGTTTTTCATTAGAAGCACTCAATACTTTTTAATGAAATACCAACGACATTCTTCCAAACTGACTTAACGTGGCATCGTACATAAATTAAAGAGAGAGGCTGTTTTATTTTAATATTTCACATGTCGATGCATTGTACAAAGTGTAATATTAAATATCAAACTTTATAATGTTGCTGTGTCAAATCAATTGGCGACTGAGAGGCGCCTATGGAGTGCAAAGGGTTAAACATAAAAAACTTACGTACCCAAAAGTGTGTCGCCATTGAAAAGATTGTCAAACTGGAGCGTTACCTTAGGCGTGGTGAATTTCACATTGTATTTCGTTACCCTGAGATAAGGGACTCCGTTCTTCTCGTACTTTTCACAGTAGATATTATTGGTCGTCTTCAAGTCATCTAGAAACATTGTAACAAGACGATTAACAATAGATTCAAACATACAGCCATCCGACTACGTGCGAACAAATATTTACACATGGTGATGTTCGATTTTCCTGATCCTCTTACAGGAAGTAACAATATCTTCCCATCGATTTTATAATCGGCGACAAAGTCCACCTGCGGATTATGTGCGTCCGACGTCAGCAAACATTTGTCCCAGTCGATGCTGGAAAAACAAAGAGCTCTCATTTCCCGGTAACAATTTCCCTGTCACTCTAGGCGCAATAAATATTACAGATAGAGGTATTTTCATTCCGCGCGAGTTAGTTAATTCAATCACGTCACGATTAATTGTATCTTAGGTAACCAAAGTTGCATTCAAATGATAATTTTCACGACCTGTTCAAATGATTCGATTCTTCCTGCCGATTACTGGGAAAGAAACGAATTTGCATACTCACTGGTAATTGTTTATTTCCAAGTTCTTTGTCAGTCCGTACAGTTTGATGTTACGGTATTCTTGCCTCAGCGAGACCGACCCTTGCGACTCGCCAATTTTCACAGAGTCCACGGATAGCGGTTCGATTGGCAGGATCTTGAAGCTCTTCAGTCCTGGGAGAAACGAAAAATTACAAAACAGTTCTATCGATTGTAATTTAATAGAATCTTATATTCATGCACAATCATTTTTAACAAGGTGGCGGTGCGTTCACGAGGAACAGACTGTTCTCTGCTATTGACTTAATGTGAAAAGCAAGTGAATGCAACAGGAGCTAAATGATTTAGTTGTCTGTAAGCGTTACTAAGAATCTAGAGAGATCCAGCATCAGCTGGGCCACGGTTAATTCTTCCTGATCGGCTTTCTCAGGCATTCGTACGCGGCAGGGTCAACGTTCATGGCAGAAGGTGGATACACCGGACGCTCTGTCACGTGTCGCACACGCCGCACCAAGACGCGTTCGCGTTCTGCACGTGGTTCGGTGATTTTTCTCGGTGCCACGGAAAGCGAAGGGACGCGCATGGCCAGCTTTGAGTCAAGGAGAACCTCTGCGAATTGCCACGAGCAATTATGTCGGTGAAACCTAACGCCCGTTTCGAGGAAACGCATTGCTCCGGTGAAATCGGCGGAAAAGTGCGTCGCAATCCTCGCGGAAAACCGAAACGCGAAGATAGCGAAGCGAGTCGGAAAATCCTCGCGGGGAACCTGGAAAATCTCGCGGATCGAAAAAAGTGGCAATTCATTATTCATCAATTTCATTCGCGTGTTCTTATTTTCGATCTAATTATTCAGGACTCGTGTTTTCTAATCGATTGAAAGGTTTATACCGAGTGCCTGGGTACTTACAGGAAAATGAAAAGAAACTGGTAGTTACGACTTAATAGTACAGTACGTCACTTTGTAATCTGCAGAAAATTGCGGTGTAGTCACATCGTAGCTAATTGAGTGGAAAGGTATCATCCGTTTACTAGTAAAAGAAGTTTCTCTTCGCTTTCCCTCGGAACACCTTATTTCAATGAAACTAATGACAGAGAGGGTACTGCGATGCTCGGAAGATCATAGAAATTAACGTGAACTATCGACCAGTGCTTTGACAATATGTAGGATCACGGGATTAAGGTACTAAGCGGCAGAAAGCGGCGCAAAGTGCACCGCGGCGGCGAGTAGATGAAATTCTCGTTTCTCAATGAAAATCGCAGCAGCGTAAGCCGGGAAAGGGCAGGTGGAATGGTTATGTAACAGTTTAACGAGGCGAATAATACTAATGCCGACTGTTAAGTTTATAGACACGCGATCACGCCGACATTTCGTCTCGCATTGCTTTCTAAAAATCTTCCAACATTCGCGTAGCGGTTCACCTTACCATTTCTCATTTTCCTTCGGAAAGATAAAAATCTACATACTCCACAGAATTCCAATCTGTTCGAAACGCGAGTCTTCTACTCATTGCTCATATCTTTAACACAACAACCACCAGATAGGTCAAAATGGCCCGTACTTGAATTCTCCTATCAAAACTCTGGAAAAGCCTCTGAATACTTCTCTCGAAAACGAGTAAAGAAACCGTTTAACACGCACGGCGAATTACAAATCAACGAAATCTCAATTCACTTAGCGTTCCTACGGGGAAACTTCAAACAGCCAATTCAACCGTCGCTGCTTCCAGCGTGTTAAGAACATGTTGACACTGGCATTCCGTCGAACCTCTTCATAATAGAAATACAAAATGACGACGCTTACCTCCGGCCAACGAGACCACAGCATCCCTCGCCGATTTCGCGATGCAGTCGTAATATTCGGGGTCCGGCAGCGTCCTGTTGCACGGCCTGAAGCTGCTCGCTGAAACAGCCGCGAGGAAAACGTGGTGAGACAGGGAGAGAAGAGAAATAAGAAAGCGAGAGAAAAGACAAACGTCGCGGGCCGCGCTCTTACGTAATCCGGCTGCGTTGCAGCGCGGATCCGATAAAGTGCGGCTGCAGCGGCCGCGGCGCCGAACTGTGTGAAGCTCGGTATTGACTTTCTCTTTCCGTGGCCGCGGTCTAATGGCTTTTGTCGAGCGGCGAGCGCGGATGGAAACGCGTGCAGCCGTCCATTTTCACTCGCGTGCCATTTTTCGCCGTTGACATTGACCTTAATGACGCGCCGCGAGGCTTGCCACGTAAGTAAATCGATCGAGCGCGGCCCAAAAAAGGATTTTAAAGGGCCCGTAATGGCGCCGCCCGGCTCGGTTCACCTTTCACGCCCGTCCCCACCTTTCTCCGCGTTCCATTGAACCGTCGAAAAGCGTGCGGATAATGAGACCCTCGGACCAAACTTCCAACGTGCTCGTTCATGGGTAACGAGCCGCGTTTTTTCTTGCTCCTTGCGCAACGCGTGGGCCGAGGAATTTTGTTTGACAACAAACTGGGCGCCGCGCACCGTTCGACGGCTGCGAAGTGCACCGGTGCGGCCCGACTTTTCAGTGGATTTCTGTTTAACGCTGGAACTACCGAGGTCGGAGTGACCCATTCGTGAATTGTTCTTTTGGAATTATTGAAAAGCTAACGGATGCTTCGAAATTACTGAAGAAATTGGATTAATGACAAATTGAATCGTAAGTCGATTGAAGTCTCGATAGCTGCAGTTTTAGTCTCTATAGACGAATTCGAAAATGTCAATTTGACTGCTCGGTTGTTATAGTGTTAGAAACTTTGATATAATTAATTGGCATTTCGACAATATGGATTGTACAGGGAAACATTCCGTGTATTCCCGACGAGGAACTTGCATTGTACGAAAGTAAGAGTTATTATATAAATTTCACTGCTCTTCCAACTCGGATTTCGCAAGCGTGTCGAACAACTGCAATCTTTACTGTAATGCGCGAATTATTATAGAATATTTAACCGTAAACATCTTCGCACATCCCCGATTCCACTGTTAATCGAGAGAGCTACCCGAACGACTCACTTTCGAACGAACCCGATCGCCGACGATCATCGAACAAAGAAATCGAAAATACTCACGCAACTCGATTCCAGCGGTGGCAGAAATGACAGCGGCGATTGCCAATAAGGGAAGAGCTACGGTCCTCATGTCGGATCGGTTCGGTTGACCTACAGGTTCACGAGACAGTCGCGTTTTCGAGGACGAAATTACTTCGGACAGCTGAATGTGAACTGGAAGAAACGGTCATTGATGCAGTCTATTTAAGCAGCACGACCGCCCCACCATCGTCGCTCTGGTCTCGGTACACGCGTGCCTCTTCAAGCAGGATTATGCGAAAACGAAAAAACCGTGGAACAATATATGCTAAGCGAGAGGTCAGCCGCGGGCATGATTCACCCGGCCGACCCGGGCGGACGATGGAAAACTTTTTTTTGTCGCCGACGGACGTGTCTTCATTCACGTCGTTTACCTCCACGAGAAGTCACCTTTTCCCGCGCTTTACATTCCGAATCCCGAACGCACTCCTCCGAACCCCGTCCGCGAGCTTTTTCTCGTGATTTTTTTCGGCGAGCCGAGAGCTCGGACATAGGAGCGCGGCTCTCGCTCCTTTTTATTCGCCACCCTGCCACCTTCGCTTCGAAAGTAAAAGCGTTTCGCAGTTTCGTCTCTTTCCCACCGCCTCCCCTCCCGCCTTTCCCCATTTGTCTCCGGATTTCTCGTTTTTCTTGTTTCCGCGCGAAACCGACCGGTACTTAGGGACGACCGGGGCCTTTGTAGATCAAGACCACACGTGGATCACTGAAAAATTCTTCCCTGAAACGCGACCATTTGTCATCTTTTTTACCCCGGCTTCTAAGAAACGCCAAGCTTTTTTTGCTGGCCACCTTGCACGCGTGAACCTGAGATTATAAATTTGCATCGTCGTTGATTAAATGCGAGGTTTCTTCGTTGCCGTGTTAAACACTGCAGAGGGATTTGCATCCGAACGCGCTGTCTACATTGTCAACCGAGCGACTCGAAAATGAAGTAGCACCGGCAATAATCGAGTGAATAGCGAAGCGAGTTTTTGCGTGTTTTGCCGGTGGAGCACGATTTTGTTGTGAGTAATGTAATATCGTCGAATAATGGAGCGGACGCCGGAGCGAGCGCTGTTCGGATTTTTAAGCGGTGAGACCAGCGATTCGGGGATCAGTGAACCTTGAAGGGCGTCGTTGGCGATCTTGAACGGGTAACCTCACGATTAATCGGTTTCAACGGGTCCGAGGAGGTTCGTTCGCGCGGCTGTGTCAAGGTAACACGATCTCGCGATGCGGCGAGATCTCGTCTCGTTCCTCTGCGCGACAGGGCGAAGCAAGGATTCCGATCGATCGTTGATCTTCATCCTTGGAAGGTACGCACCTCGACCTGAGATTTTAATTCAATGTCAGCTGGAACTATCGCACGACTCGCTGGCACGAGAGCACTTCGCGAGGCAGTGCGTAACAAAGGTGGAACAATGCGTTTTATGAATTTATTGTTGCTGAGTAACGCTGTTGCCAGTGATAAAGGAAGTTTCCTGTTCGCTGCCTATCATCGGCGAGGAATCTCGATTTCCATTCGGGGATGAAACCTTATCGAGGAAAAAACAATGGACGGCAACTCTGTATTCATGGTTCGTCTCGCAAGATGGCGACAAATTAATCACGGTCGCGAACTTAGGATGGAAGGTTCGTTTAAAAGCAACGGTGACGCGTCGTAGACGAAATTTTCCGCTTCATTTGGCCGCTGGGTAGAATTGCTAATAGCGGAAGAATTTTAGCACCTGCAAACTATGTAGGTGATTAGCGTAATTGTAAGCGTCTGAATGTAATCAGGGATTAATTGTGTTTATTTGTGCGATCTGCACTTTTTTTTCTTCCGTTTTTTCGCCTGAACTCTGACGTGATCTCTATAATTGCAATTCAAATCAAATGGCACGGAATAAAATTATCTTAGAAATAATCTATTTTACCGTTGAACAAACTGTTCGGACACATTACCATTGGATATGCGACAGATATATCGCTGGATCTGTTTATTTCTAACCGCGTAATCGTTAAACGGGATCACGGCGAGAAACTAGATCAGGGCGGTTGGGTTTCCATGCTTCATAGAGGAGAAACGAGAGGAAACAATAACGAAAGTGGACAATGGAAAATTGTCGGACGAGAGGCTCGCAGCGATTACGGCTTCCTTAGATCCAATTTAAGTAACGACCGCCTCCGTTTTCCAACATGGAGATGTTGCGTTATCATTGCCGCACAATCTGGCGTCACGCGTTCTGCCTCAGAAGTCGAGCAAATAATTTTCCATCTGCCTCCAGATAGCACAGCCTACTGTAAAAAGTGCACTGGTCAACAGTATAATTTAGTTTTACGATCGTAATTTGTGCGATTCGTCGCCAGTAAATCAAGTCTCACTATCTGCACTAAATCACTGCCGTTCATCTATCAGTAATTACGAACAAACTCTGCGCAGCTGTTGACAAGTTGAGAGCTATCGGTATTCACGATCTTAATAGTACCTGCTCCAAGAATGACCGAACCTCTTTCGTTGAATGTCACCGACCAGTCTTGAACCTTGGTACCTTAGGTTGGTTGCCCTCCGGATCCCTTCACTTCAATTTTCGTGTGTCCACCGTATGCCTTCCACGCTCGAGCACCATAAATCCAACTTCTTCCATCAAAACGGCGTTTCAACGAACACTTTCCCACCGTCGCAGGAAAAAAACAAAGTTTCAGCTTGACCGCGAAAACGCGGCATTGTTCGAACATTCAATGGCGTAAAACGATCATGAAAGTCGTGCGCGCACATCAATGATGATTCATAGGGAAGTAAATACGAAGATCTTGACTTTAATATATGCAACGGCGATGCATGTCTACGAGAATCATTGGAACGTTCAATTTATGCCCGCATAAAATTAAAGCGTTAAGATAAATTGTGTACAGCCCGCGTCAGTCTTCGCTGAATAAACGAGGGAACGCTTTATTTTGATCTTCATTCGCGTTTTATCGTACGAGAGCGTGGCAAAGTTGAAACAAAAGTGTGCCCGTCGAGCTGTTCCCGGCGGAGGAATTCCTAACGCGGTAATTTCTCAATCCTCTTTATCACGGCTGAGGAAACCAGTTTCGGCCGCAATCGATGTTTAATGAGCTTCGGCAATCTGAACGGCCATAAGGTTCGATGATCCTTCAGCGGACGCTTAATTGCCCGTCTCCGCGTAACTGCCTCCGTTAAAATGGCTGCCGGTTGCTTAAGAATCGGCTCGGATCGATTACAATGTTTTACTGTTTACATTATCGAGCACCGATTTCTCCGAGGGAATGGGGAAAATGTACGCTATCGAAGGAATACGGGAAAAGGATCGTGCTCCCGAAGGATTTTCATTATCTCCGGATCATCGAGCTGCTAACTCTTAGATTAACCCTTCGCACTCGAGAGGTAACTGTCAGTCGTCACTCGATTTAACGTATAAAATTATAATTCAATGTGAGATACTGAAATAGCTTTGTTTCTTCAATTACGTATGGTTAATTAATTTCAGAAGATGAAACAACGAATGCTTCTGGTGACAAACTTTCGACTGCACATGGTTAACTCGCGGCGATTATGTTTTGCATGCAACAAATGTTCTTTAGACGAGTTCGTCCAGTCGCAATAAAATTATCAAATGATCCAGGACGCTTAATCCTATTCAATGTGCATGTTCCGCATCTTTTATTCAAAAGAGATTTGCATAGCGTGAGCTTGAACTCTTTAGAGGTCGCGGAGGTCTATCATGGCCGCGGAAAACGCACGAAATCCGTGGCACGCAGCGTACATTTGTTCGTGAATGAGATCACGTAGATCGTGCATCATACGCATCACGTCTATGCGTTGCCCTCATTTTTTATTCCATGCAACGTCGATTCGGTCGGGAGCAACGAAAACGAACGCTTTTGCTCTGCCGATGGTGGAACAAGTATGGCGACTGTCGTTGGTGTCTTGGGGTAGCTCATTAAGTAATACTTCTTGGTGTAAAAGCCACAGATCATTAATAATGGCACTACTGATTTTATTATTCATATCTAGACTCAGTTATCTATCTTTACAATTTAACTATTTTAATTCTTATCATTTTAGTACTAGCACCTCTAATCATAGCCACCATATTTATTCCATCAACGGTACATCCCAAGGTTACATTAGTTTTACGGAGAAACAATTTTTTATTGATACAATGAATAACTCCAAACTCTATACAAAATTAAACAAATTTGAGCTAAGTAATTTCCTCGTCTAATTTGGTTCGACGTGAGATTCTTGCAATTGTAAATACGAACTTGAATCACGTATACATATCTTCTTTCGTTCGATAATGATACGACAAAGGATTATTAGTCGTCGAATTGCTTTTTCTCACGGCAATCGTTTTTGATATTTCAAGGCTAGGCTATTTAACGGCGGTCGTACCTTTGCGACGCCAAGATCGATGGCATGCCCAGTCAACGGGCAAGTCTGACAACGTTTTTTCTTGTTGTTGCAATTAGTTTTCTCTTGGCGAACGATGTAACGTGGAAAATAATGTATCCGCTTTTTCTGTAGCGTGGCGCAAGCCGGCATCGTCACGACCAAGTCTTTCTTGTGGATTGTCCTCGATGGCTCAGGGAATAGCCGATCATTCAGTATATACTGCTCCAGTGAACCGGAGGATTTGGATGAATGAAGAGTGTGGCTGGACCCGTGAGTGTCGAAATAGTTCTGTTCACGGAATTTCCTCAGCTCCTTCAGTTCATTATCGGAAATTGCCTGCTTAATGCTTCCTACTTGGTCCAAATTACTAACGCAAACAGTGTGCTGATAATCTTCTGAGTCAATACTATGTTTGCCCGAAGCAAATCTGGATGCTTGTCCCACCTTGCTACTGTAGCAACAGGGACACTCTTTATCCACCGATTGTATCGTTTTCTTACTCTTCGACGACGCTTTCGAACTTGATTTAGCTTTACTTATGTCAGGTACAGGTTTCTTAGAAGTTAGGGTTCGCTTAGTCACATGTTTTGGTCTCGATTGCCTCGAAGTCTCTGGATTTTCCTCTTCGTCGCTAACGTTTGTTCTCACGGATATCGATTTGGACTTCGTTACATTGTCAATTGTTTGTGATTCTTTGTTTTTGGAGATGACTTTGCTGCAACATGGCGACCTAGAACACAACTGAGGGCAATCTCCAGCTGCTACAGGGTGCAACAAGGAAACTTTGCTCTGTACATTGCGCAAGAATTGTGATCTAGGTGCATAGTCTATCCTCTGGACTCTTCTCAAGGTCTCACAGCTAATTGGTGGACTGAGAACCTTTTCGGGGCTGTCCCTTACAATTGCTGGTTTGAATTCAATGTGGCTTTTGCAGTATTTGCAAGCTGTGTCTGGCTTATGTTGGGTTCTCGTAGACCGCTGTGCCTTTTTAACTTCAGAATGGCAGTAGCATTCTTTCACTGGCTTCCTGCGTACAGTTTTTAGACAGCATTGCGGTTCCGAATGCTTTTTCGATGTTATCAGCACTCTTCTAACTGTTGATAAATTAGGCATTGATGCAGGCGAATGGTCTGAGCTATCAGTACTATAATCTAGACATAAAGCTCCACCAACACCACTGGAATCATTTCTCAATTGCCATGACTTGATGTTTCCTCTGCGGCATGAAGTTTTATTGCCTTTATTATAATTGTCTTTTAATGTTCTATAAATGTAGAACAAAGTATGATATGATGTGTGCTGTACGAAAGATACTCTTGCAGATTACAAGCAGTACTCACAAGTTCTGTGAGTATAGTTTCTTATATTCCTCTTTAACTCTCCTAGAATTCTTATCTACCCGGGCCAGCAGAAGTCTGCTTTTTTTACGTAAATGATCTATGCATTCATTGAAGCTTTGCTCCATATGATTATCAGATATTTACCTATCAATAAAAAGAGCTTTGAGCAACAGAGGCTTTATATTAATATCTTAAATATAAAGTGATCAGTTAATTTTATTCTACAGAGTCTGAGATAGATGATTTAGTTTGGATCAGGTATTCAGAGTCGTATTAGTTTCGGATTGAGTGCCTTGGTTTGGAATGTCTGGATAAGATTCGGCTTATTAGATCTTCTTTAATTATAATTCAGATTTCAGAGAGGTGCAGAGCAACAGATGTTGGATTTGGAGAGAATTAGGGATTCATCCATCACAGCATCAGAAAATGCTCTAATAGGTAAATCAATAAAATTTAATACCCTTGTTAACAATTCTTCATCTCATTCGTTAACAATTCGTCGAATATTATTGACCATTCTTTAATTACTCCAAACCATCGAACTTGTCTCATTCGATTTCAAAATTCCCCAGTGAAATGTTTATTTTTATACCAGCGTTTGAAGTTTAGTGTGCGTCCTCTGTAAACAGGAAAATGTAAACCAGTCTTGCCACCGTAATATCGTGAAAACTTTTTTCTCGGGGATTTTTTCTAATTGATCAGAAAAAATTGTTATTATTTACGTTACATGTTGAAGAAATGAGCGCTACCTTATACTGTAAGTATACAGAAGCGTCGTAAAGATATATTTTAAATGTTACTCGTTGAAATTTCAATCAGTGGAAAATTATATGGGGAATAGTGCTTTAACGCGGCCATGTTGGAGTAGCGCATAGGACGCGGCGTACGTTACGATGTACTATCGGTGGAGAAGTGTTTTTTAATTTAATTAGTGGTCTCGTGTTTTTCACTGATGCTGCAACGGAAAAGTAGTTTGTTATTTTACGTGACAAACAAAATATGAACCTGGTCACGTGATCGTGGTTTAACGGTCACTGCCACTGTGTGGCTGATACTAGAGGTTATAACCGATCGCATGTTATAATCCTGGAGACGCTTAACATTCCGCGGCAGAATGGATTTCTCCGGGAACAATGTTATCCAGGGAATTATCCCCCAATTTGCGGATCTAACGCCTCGATCAAATTCCGATTCAACGGCAAAATTTACCAGTGGTGATACCATTCAAGACGAGCACACCACTGTTTACACCACCTCTACCACAGGATCGAATCAACCGAAACAGACTTTATTGGTAAGAATGGCTCAAGTTTCTTAATTTAATATATTAGCCAAGGAACCTCTTGATCAATCATGTATATTTTCTTTTTTCAACTTAAGGTGAACTCACCTAACAAATATACAGGACCAATACTTGCTTGGCCAGATCCAAATACACTGATGCAACTCTGTGAGAAACAGGGCATTCAGGCTATCAATATTCCTAATTATAATCAAAATAATTCAATACTGGGTGTCCAATCTAATAGTCTACCCGTGAGAATTATACCTAATATGTATTTGCCATCTACCTCTCAGCCAGAGAATAATAAATCTATAATGGATACAGGGACTGAAGCTGAGACTAAAACATCCGCCATGGTAGTATCATCGTCTGCCAGATATGTAGGGTACATTTATGGGTTTATATTGAATGAAATGTATGACTTTTTAGCAAGAATCTCAAGTTCAACTTCAGCAACAAAGTGCCATGGCTGAATATTTTCAAAAGTTACAAGCTACCACTCTTCCACTTACTTTGCAACAGCTAATTAAGTTGCAAACAGAGCAAGTAAAGAAGGAAAAGACTGAGGAAGAGAAGGTGGAATACACTCAGAATAATATTTTAAACATTCCTAGCGTTCCAGTTTTCAGGAACAATCAGTTACAGAATGGTACTAGTTTTATGAGTTCTGATCAAATGATGGCATCTATTAATCCGAATGACTTGAATGTACATATGGACAGCCATCAGGAAAATGAGAACATAGTGCATAGTATGAAAGTAGAACAACAAGTGCAAACAGATTCCCCTAAAACTGAAAGGAAAATGAAATTTAGGGCTAAAACTGGTGAAATTAAAATCACTGTTGCACTTGATGGTTCAACACTTTATTGCTGTCCTGAGTGTAATTTAGCATTTTCGGATAAAGTGGAAATAGATCAGCACATTCAAGCTCATATACAAGTATGTGTTAAGTTATAAAAATTTATCAAGTTGTTCAAGTGTTTATCTACTTAATGTGTAATTTTGATACAGGAACGCAAATATCAATGCAAAGAATGTGGTGCTATGTTAAAAAGAAAGGAGCACCTTGACCAACACATGCGAGGTCATTCTGATGAAAGACCATTCAAATGTCCTGTTTGTCAGAAAGGATTCAAAAGGAATGAACACTTAACTAGGCATTATGTCATTCATTCTGGCGACAAGAATTTCACCTGTTCAGTGTGTCAAAAGGCATTCTCTAGGAAAGATCATTTAAATAAACATACTCAAACACATTCGGGGATCAGAAGGAATAGAACGAAAAAGGATACTTTCTTCATAGAACAGAAGGAATCCTTTGACAAGATCAATGACATTTCTGCAATGTCTAAGCAAGAAGTGAATTTTGTCCTGAAAGATGGTTTCATAAAGCAAGAACCCACTTTCCTTCAGTACATTCAGAATCTTCAGAAAGATCAAAATCTGATACACACATTTTCCTCATTTAAAGAACAGGCCATGAAGGAGGCGAATGTTCTCCAACAGCAGGCTGTTAATATGAATGAGATTCTGCCTCAAAATACAAGGTACTTAATGCCATCTTAGTCGTAAGTCAATCTGATGTAAGTCCAAAGCAATAAAGGCTGTTTGCGAAGTGTGTCAAGGTTAGCACAAATAGAAAATTCGTTAGATACATTAGGAATTGAAAAGTATTCTAGGACTTGGAAAGAAATTGATCGGGGCAGCACTGAATGTTCGAGATGCAATTGAAATAAATTTTCATCGGCATCGAACGTTAAAACTTTTATTGAGAAATGATGGCGGTTAGGTTATTGAGCGCCATCTACAGTCTAAACGAAGAAGCTCAGTGACTTTTTTTCTGTTAAGAAAACTGATGCCATAAAATTTTGTAATCCATTTAACAATTAGTATTCCGTGAACAGTACCTAAAAAAAATTTGTATTCTTAGCGTATACACGCTGAAGTAAGAGCTATGAACTTTATCTACGTTTCATTACTTGCATAAAATTAACACTCAATCAATCGAGTTTGAGTCAGTTGAATTTTGGTACTTGGGGTAAAAGAGATTATTTTGTATAAATGCACATCCTCTGTCTTATTTAAACTAGTATCGAAGAAAATAGTTTCTTTACTCATTCTAGTCTATGACCACAACAATCTAGAATTGTCATGTATTTTTTAATCTAGCATGGGACATGTTTGGATCATAACATAATTGAAACTGCTGAATGGAACACTTAACGCCAATCTGCCATTAGGATAACAGTTTCATGAAACGAGTACCAATAGCAAGTAATAGCATACTGCCGATTATTGTCGTTATACAGTTTGTAGAGTAATTATGTACATAAATAAGATACAAATTTTACCTGAAAGAGACTCAGTAGGTACGTTGTTTGAACTTGATCTCTGATTCGTCCGTGTTCATCTTTAGCAACAAATGCATAGCGCATATTTTAGGTAAGCATTTGTTTTCACTTCTCACTCACCATGTTTTAATGTATCTCTTCTTTTAACTC